CAATATGAATCAAATTTGATCTTTGAGTTCCATGATTTTAGGGTACGCATTACTGGATCTAGGATCAAGAAGCAAAGCGATTTTGGAAGCTTGACAATTCATATTGGCACTATAATCAAGCAACTTGAGCTTCATGGCAGTACCAGCCTGTTTCACTATCGGAGTGATGAATCAAGTGTCTATTTGTCCAAAACGGGTTTTTTCACACAAGGTAAGAAGATGCTTGTAGATTAGAGGTTGGAGAAATAGTGCAACGTAGCCACGTTCACTAGTGGCGACACTGCAATGGTACGCAAATTGCAAAAAATCTTTGCATGATTTGAGAACACATCAATCCATGTGGGACAAAGCCATATTGGCCAATCGATCACAGAAATTTTTGGAGTTAGAGAATGTTGAAAATACATCACGATACCTAAATACATCACGATACTGGTTGATCATGGTGAACATAAAATTCCAACACGTCTTCATAACCAGACCAGGAACTTCAACACGGTCCTTGGAAACGCCTAGCACAACAATCAATTTTGAAAACTAGACGTGGATAGCAACAGATCCACGAACAAATTTGAGTATTTGATGAAGCATTTGCACTTCTTTTTTTATGAAATGTGTAACATCACATACATCACGATTGATGGCGTGACAAATGCATCGTATATGAAAACCATCCTCCAACCGAATAGAGTATTGATCATTCAAATTTCGTCCCACAATGGTCATGATCGGTGGCATCTCTTTGCTGTTGTCGGATGTAACGGCCTTGATCTTGGATCTCATGTTGAAATCTTTCATCGCTGAAAGAATCAAGTCTAATGTAGTGTGTTGATTGAGTGGATGTGAAAAATAGCAAAATTCTAGCACAATAGATTGAAGTTTCCACTTTTCATCAATCCACTAGACTGTAATCATCATATAGCCACACATCACGTGAGACAACCAACATTCTAGAGTGAGAGCAATCGCTTCCTTGATATACTCTATAATTGAATAAAATTGTAGTAATGCTCGTTCAAAATGATGAGATAATGAGCGTGTTAGAATTTGTCACGATGATAGTGAGTAATGGAGGTTGAGACGTTAGAAAAATGATCAAAATGTTTTATTCTCGACAAGGTTGAACGCTTGTTAGATATACATCATAAATGCAACCAAGGTATTTAAATTGTCTTTTTTGAACTCGTTATCCAACTCATACGGATCCTGCAGTTTATCATTTAGACCAAAAAATAATCTGCAGATAATCACTTGATTTTTGAACTTTTGACATATTGTGTTTTACAAGATAACGAGACAACGTGCTTGTTCCAATTTTGGCCAAAAATGATGTCATGCATCTATTGTTCTGAGAACCTATGGGCTTGAAGCACATGATATGAGATTTATTGGAATCTTTCATCAATTTGAAATGATTCAAAATCCAACTTGGATAAGATTTTGCCTTTCGTTTACGACCAGTAGATGTTTTTGTTATTTGGCTAGAAAAAACGATAAACTCTTCATGTGTACTTATGAACCAGTATGATTTTGAATCCGCAACGAGAGTAAGATCGGCCATGCTGACTCACAACTTGAAAGTATATGCATCGATGGGAGAAATAGGCAAATTCCACCAGACACTTTAGAATATATTTAACATTCAAAAATAAGCAAAATACAATTACAATTACAGTATATAAGCAGATCCCACCTAACATCTTAAAACATATTTAACATTTAAAAATAAGCAAAATACAATTACAATTACAGTATGTAAACACATCATGAATTTGAGTCTACTTTATTTCAGGGAGACTTAAATTCAAGATGTGTTTACATACATACTAATTCCTATACTGAAATCACATGAATCATCTTGATTCAGATACGAGTGCCACATGAGGTATGATAAGGTATAATCAATCTGTAATATAAAGTACACTGAATGAACAACAAGGTAATTAACAAAATCACTATGTTGAGATGAAGGTGTCTATGATGAATCTCCAACGAATACGATATTCGTGGCACAGGAACAGTTGCTACAAAATTGCATTCCATATTTACAAAAAGCTACATCTCCGAGTTTGAAGGTCTAGAGTACATTTTTTGATTGATTGCATAGGATTAGTAGACAAGAATCTACTGCAAAGTCAACTAAGAAAAATCTACAGATTTACATGTATCGGATGTCTATCAAATATCATATTACAAAAACCAGTGAAGACAAAATCTTAAATTCTATAATATAGAAGAACCAAAAGTCAGAAACAAATCAATTTAGAGTACAATTCAATTATTCATTTGTATTAATTTTCAAAATAAAATAATAAGCTAATAATTCTTGCAAGATTATGATTATATTCAGAAGTACATTATGTTAGTTGAACGATCATACTTCAATCAAGAATGCCACCGAATCATGCGTTAAAAGTTTATTGCAAAGTAAGTTGATGTTGATTGAAAGTGACGATATCTTTACCTTTATACTTTGCTACAAATCCGCCAAAACTTAGTGAACTTTAACTATTTTATGCGAATTTTACATAATCTTACATTTAGCACAACTATCAATTTTAGATTGAAATCACGCTAAAAGACTTTTACTTTATGGTCATTATGCAGGAAACATTCAAACTATCTCCAAGAAATTATAGTACTAAATTGGAAAAATTGAAATTGTGAAAGAGAAAGGAGAACAAATTCTTCTCAAACACTGATGAAAAGTGATAAATTTCAAGATCAAAGATCTTGAGACCGAGATTTGTTTTACAACATGATTTCATATGAATGTATGCAAATTGTGAAGTAAGTTGCTTATTACAATTTTCAGTTAGTTGAAGGTATTCGTAATGTTGAATTAGAAAGAAACACTCAAAATCAATATCAAATGTATGTGATGTCTCAAGTGATGTATTGTGAATTACTTAAAATGCTTAGAGAAGAATTTAAAATCAATTTTTTTTATCCATATTGCGATTCCATGAAATAATTTTGTAACAAGTATTCTACTGATATGATTGAAAAAAATCACAAATGACTTCTTCATGCTTACAACTCCGAGGTGGGAGTAAAAGATCAAATCTATAAGCATGACCATGTCACGAACTTCAAGGATGCGTGGAATGATTTGAATGATCAATTGAGTTCAATTCATGTGCGTTTGTAGTATTTTTGAATCTTATAGTATTGCATAAAAGTTATGTAGATCAAGTTCATAACATGAGGCTTTAAGCTTCTGAAGATTTCAATTGAGTTGAAGTTTTGTACGTCTGTAAAATTTCAATCGACGAAATTAGTACATTAGGTTTCAAACTTATGCATATATCAGTTGAGTCGAATTCATGTGAGTTTTTACAATTTCAACTGCGTCTTATGTGCTTTTGGAAGATTTCAATGTGAAGTTTATGATTTCACATGAATGATAATTCTAATCAGTCAAATTAGATGTAAAATTTTCATGTGGATTCTAAGATGTATGATCATTCTTATCACTCTAAGTGGATGTCAGCAAGTATTGTGAATATATAACACAGGAAATCTGGATGCAATTCCATGTCTTGATGGAGACTAATTATCAATCTTGTTGAATTGCTTGGTTTACTAATTTTGATGGTATATCTTTACATGACATTTGATTGATCCATTTAGATTGAGTGAGTTAACATATCAATTGGAGTAGTTTAGATTGAGTGCAATAACAAGCCTCATGTAATGATGATTTTTGTGAATGGAATTATAGAATCACATTCTCTCGAAGACTTGATTGTGTGCTACGCCATTACTGTGTTTTACAAACTTGGTCATATATGTGGAAGACGTCACGGACACGAGAGCATGCAGTAGAAGTTATGTCACATATGATACTTTCTTGTTAGAATGTATTGAATGTGAGGTATGATTCTTTTGTAGTCAAAAGACTCTTGTAATCAAAAGACTCTTGTAATCAACAGGCTGTTAGACACCTTCAAGGTATGGGTTGTAGTTTGTGAGCTTGCAGAGACGTGCAGACACGAAGCCTATATAAGAGTTCTAATTCATTGATTATAACATTAATGATCAAGCAGAAGCACCGATACCGGTGGAGTTCATGAGCTCATGATTGAACCCAGGATTACAGTTTACTATACTCATCAAGTTAATGCGTAAATCAAAGTTAATACTTTGGAGAGTTTCAGACTACACTATGTTCCTATGAAGTTGTGCATTGAGATCACAAGTAGACTATGCTAATGTAATATCTTCAATTATTTCTTTATCTAATTAATATATCTTGTGATAGTTACGGTTGTGCATTGAGATCACAAGTAAACTATGCTAATGTAATATCTTCAATTATTTCTTTATCTAATTAATATATCTTGTGATAGTTACGGTCTCGTTAACTCATGTAGAAAATGTCATTGTGTAATTAAGTTTTTGTCGAGAATTTGTCTCCGAGTAATAATATAGGTTACAAATCTTATTTTTTCTTGAAGTGAGAAGATTGTTGAGACTATCTCCGTTGACTATTTATAGCTAAGAATAGTCTCGGTGTTGGTTATTTAACCCAAGTGTTATATGTATTACCATAACACTAGTGCATTACCGTCACAAGTGAATTTCCCATGAGGAAGTAGATTTTTGTGATGAACTATGTTCCGTTTGTTGTCTCTACTCATCTTGTGTTTATTGTTACATGATTTTCTGTTGAAGGTTAACAGATAAGCTAATTGAGGTTGTATTACCAATGGAATCTTTGTATTCTTACCAACTAGGGATAACTTAAAATATTGCATGTACATCACCCATCTTGAGGATACAATTTATACTGAAGATACATCTTGAGGATAAATTGTATGTAAAAAAAAAAAAACCAAACAATTATGACGTAGATATCTGAAGTACGACTAAAGTATCTAATGTTGGAGGATCCATTACTCTACCAATGAACATGTGACGTGGAGAGAGCGCGCTGATCATGTACCAAGCCTGACGAGTGCCGGCATATAAGTGAGTTGTAGGGAAGTACCGACACACCGAGGTATAACATTCTTCTGATTTCTTTTGAAGAGTTTGATGGTTCGTGGACGAGCAGCAGTGCCTTGCGTGCGAAATCGATAGCACTTTTTCTCGTTTCTCCTCCACCGCAATTCAGCGGAATTCTGAATCGTCATACATGTTGTACAGTTTTGAGTACAATTGACAGTGTTCTGATTTCATGAGAAGATTGCACGCGCGACGATTCGCCGGAGAGGTGGTCCTAGGAGGAGGAGCAGCAGTTCGACTCTAGGCGTGCTGGTTGTGTGAAGGCGAGGACGCTGTTGTGTTCAGGTTGCATTCAACGGAGAGCGATCGACGAGTTGTGAAGACAGAGAAGGGGACGAAAGAGAAGAGAAGATAGCCCTGGCTGGCGTTCAGGTCATGGCTCAGTGGAACCAGGGTTATGAGTATCAACGGTGGTAGGGTTGCAAAGCCCCCTTTGGTTCAGGTTATCAAATTTGGGGAAGATTGGATTGTAAGACGAGGAGGGAGGGGAATTTCTGTTCAGTGGCTATGAATTGAATTAGGTGATGAACATCTGGCGATTTTTCGACCAGTGTGTTGGTCAAGACTGACGGATTTCCTATTGTGAATGAGACAATTGTCCGTAGACTGAAACCATTTCCTTAGGTTGATCGATTGTCAGAAACCCTAAATTTTCTGCCGGGTTTCTTTCCCGTGAATTGGAGAAACTTCGTTTAACAATCCCTGCCGAAACCTGAAACAGCAGAGCTTGTTATAATCCGGTTTCGAATATGGCTTTATCTCAAAAGTTAGCGCAATTTAACAAGCAGCAGGAGAAGCTTCAGGCGTCGTTAGCTAAGATCAACCAGTCCCGCCCTGCCCCTGCCCCTCAACCGAAGGTTACGGTATCTCGAAAGGCGCCTGCACGAGAGGCCTCTCAAAATTCCGTCCCTTTCTCACAGAGATTTTCCTTCACAAATGATACTGAAAAGCTTACGCAAATTGCCACCATTCGGAGGGCCCCTGTCGGAGCTCAAATCAAGCGCGTCCTCGATCTTTTGCTTGAGGTGCGTGTGACTTTCGTGTCTTTAAATTTGCCAGAATTAGTACGCTCTTGCAAACGTCACACCTGATGAATTTTACTTTGTGTACAGACAAGACAATCTTTGCTTCCCGAGGAGATCAACGAATCTTGCTTCGTGGATGTGTCAGCTAACAAAGAACTGCTTGAGAGTCTGAAGAGCAACGTCAAAGTTTCGTTCGATGGCCAGCGCTTCGCTTACAAGGTTGGCCTATTGAAGATTTTCCTTCCGGGATTTCTTTTCAGCTTTTGGATAAGTTTCGTGGTTAAGTAGGGCGTGGACGTGGAAGTGGACGTTTGATTTTGAGAGTATACGGTGATGACATTCTTCCTGTTGTGGGCATTCAGTCAAAGCATGACATCAAGTGCAAGCAGGAATTGCTCGTTCTCATCAGAAAAGTCCCAGAGGGGATTCCGATGGGAGATCTGAAAGATTCCTACCCCGGAGTAATTTCTGACGTACAGGTTCGTGAACTTAGAAGAATTCAACCCGCAAAGCTAGGAATCACTCTGCCTTGACGAGAGTGGTTAAGGTGCTATAGAAGAATGCAGGTCCTTTGCATCAACTGATAGTCCACAGCTGGTTATGTAGGTATGGATGGACCATCGACCGTTGATGTCCGATTTGTTTGTGACAGGAGCTGAAAGCAAGCGGGGATATATGGTTGCTGATGAATAGCGATTCACAAGAAGACATTGCTTACCCCAACGACCCTAGGATCAAAATCAAAGTCGATGAGGACTTGAAGCAGCTCATTAGGAGTATTGAAATGCCTCGGGAATTCATCGACGTAGAGAGAGAGTTGACGAAAGCTGGCATGAAGCCCGCCACAAATACTGCCAGGAGAGAGGCTTTGAAGGGTGCACTGCGCACACAGCAGACTCAGAAAAAGACGAAGAAAAGACGTGAAACTAAAAGAACCAAATACACAAACGCTCACTTGCCCGAGCTGTTTCAGATGAACTTAGGATAGTATTTTTGTACCCTGGCGGTTGTGTACATAGCAAAGGACATTTTCTCGAGTCCTCGAGTTGTTTCCTCGCAGGAACTGACACTCCTGTTTAATTTATAAGCACTTCATCGACCGATTTCAGTTGCCAGGTTTCTAGTGTGTAGTTTCACACGCGGGATGAGACGAATTTCATTCAACGTGAAAGGTTTTCGCGAAATTCCCGACCTCATTTGTTCTCCGACAGAAAAAATTTATGGGAGTTAGACCCTCTCCATCGATTCACCCTATGGAATCGGATCCGAAGTTCTAAAACGTATTCCTGTACACATATAATGCTAGTTTTAGTGGACCTCTGCAATCGCAAATCCCTACTAGAACTGCACAGTCTAGTGAAATTCACAGAACTTGAGTCATGACTCGAGACATGGCGATGTCAACACCCCTGCGGTACATACTTGTATAATAGGATCGATACTAGCAGAGGGTGTCAACATGATGACATTGACGTTCATCCAGCGCTGTAATTCTGGTGCACCTTGGCACTCCAGAAATAAAGTATCACTAGGTTCGTACCAATTCCACCCGACTCAAAACCTCATCAAACTTCTGTTGTTGCGAGATAAGTTGTTCACACGATTCTTTCAGGAGAAAAGAAGACGTCCTTGTATACCACAAACAAACCAGAATCAAATTCTCCCTGACTTTTGGACCTTGAATTATGAGAGTCTGATGTCTTTGTCGGCTTTTCAGCTCTCACCTGCATGGAGCTTTCTAAAGATTAGAGGCAGTATCTCTGGGAACAGATGTAAGCTTCACGCTCCATGTAAAAAACTCAAAGTCAGATGTTCACCTGCAGTGAGTGAGGAGTATTAAAACCAAACTAAAACATCGTCGAATGCGCAGGGTCGCCACTATGCGATTAATTCTAATGCGCAACTAGCTTATATCTTACTCCATCTCCTCATCTCCTAATTAGATCAAGTGCCAGACTAGGGCCACACCCGCTACATACAAACAACTGATTGCGCGTCAAAGCACGACTCCTTTCAAACCCAGTTGCTAACCCGAGCTAGTCCGCGATGCAGAGGAGAGCGTAGTCGAGAGGCTTCGAGGGGCGTGGGGCCACTGTTTCCCGCGTTGCTGCCACTTGTACTGCTTCTACCGCTGCCGCAGGTGCTACCGTTCTATTGATCTATTTCGACTGCCATGCCGCTTTAACTCCTTTCAGCAGCTTTGGTTGAGGCAATTTACACGGGCGGGAGTGGCTGTAGCAAAAATGGGTGTGGCCCTAGTCTGCCACTTAGATCAAACCTAGAATTTCCAGACACTTCTAATACGACTTCACTTCCTTGTTCTAGTATGTGTCAATTCAAAAGTGCACGTAGATCGGGACCTCGACGGGAGCATTGACTAACCATTTAATACTTATGTAGATGTTTAGTAGTTGCAACTGGATGCTTAAATCTTCAAGGGCAGGGCAAGGCAGTGGTTATCTGATTAGAGAAACTCATGAGCTCCTGAAACCAGAACATCTAAATTGTCGTGGGACTTGGTATCGCGATACATCATACATCGCTTACATGTTCTACTCACAACTTGACACTTAGCTCGCGGTCAGTTAACTCTTACTCCCAATTGGTACTATCTACAATTACATGCTATACACTTTCATGGTTGCGCGAAACCAGTAGTTCGGGTGCTATGTCGCTCCATCATTAATCATATAAAGATCAAGTCATCTACACTCCGAATAACATCGTCCACTAAGAACAACATCGATAGGTCGAGACCTATCACAGAGAACATATGGGCTGCTTGATCAACTGATCCAAATAACATTAACCTCAAGCCGGCAAGTACAATTTGATTTGCAAGATGACACAAAAGTACATATGGTAATCGAGCCAAACTCACTCCCATAGGAGATGTAGAGTAGAAGCTAGCGGGCCTGAAATATCCCTACACGAAAGTTTCAACTCGAAGAACTTACAAACCTTTGAGCTCGTCTCCACTATATAACTGGAAAGTGTTGACTCCACCCGACGCTATTCGACCCGTTAGCCGCTTCCCAAAGTGTATCCGACTCAAATTCGTGACACACATGACAAAATCTCCAGAGCTCAAGCATGCAATTTTGATACCGAAGTGCACAGTCATTAGTTGTATTTTCCACATAGATGTAGAGGCCTTGGGGGATCTCGAAGACAACAGCTACGGTGGAGCTGCTATCGTATATTGAACCTGACCGAAAGACAACAAGGTCCAGCATGGTTTATATTATAAATAATATACATTCAATCGCCTGTACGTGAGACTGTCAGTATCATCCAGACTTATCGTTCAAGTAGACTTCTGAAGTGCCATATCGGAAGGAATGTGGACACTGTGCGGAACGAATTGCCTCATAGAAAAGGTTTCATGCTCATCGGATACTTTACTATCCGAGGAAAGAGTTCGACGACCACAGAAAACTTAAATAGCCATGCCTTCATCGCCAGTTGACCATGCGTGTGAATCGAATGTGCACTTGGTTATTCGGTCAAATTTTTCTCCTGTCCCGATGCCATTTGAAATCTGTCGATGTATGGAAGGAGAGAAGGTCAGGTCAATCCGAACGCATCGTTGAATAGATAATTGCTGATTGTTCGAGTGCCTACCATCCGCAAATATGCATTGCATCTTCCTTCTGCATTACTTATATAATAGATTACGGTGCATGATAGAAAGTCTGATAGACAGGTGGACGTAGCTGGTGAGTGTAGTTGCAGGGGGTGCAAATCGATCGATCAGGCAGTTGTGTTCAGCGTCGGGGCACGACCATCTCTGACCTATATTCACACACCTGCTGAATTCAGACAGGCAGGGACATTCATGGCCTCTTGCTAGCTAGACCTTGGGTGCGCGCGGAGCTGGGATATGCTGCGAAGTGCAAGTTTGCTGACAGCTCCGTTCTTGTGCACTTCGAGAAGCATGTAGGAGATATCGCAAATGTCAGTGCCGACTGATTGCGGAATTCCGACTATTTAATGGCCCAGTGAACTGAGGTGAATTGCTCTTCTGCATGCCTTATTCGTTCACTTCCCCTTCCTTGTGCCATTCATCCTCCTCACGGGAATGTCACCTACTCAGCTGTAGATTCTCTGGGAAAGCTATGCGTTTTTTAGGAAATATGTCTTCATCTAGTCATTACATTCTTGGTCTTCTTGTGCCCTTGTACTCTTCTTGTCCTTCCCCAGGCTTGGACTCGACGTTCCAAACTTTTAGCATGTGTCATATATCTACTAATGGGGTCCTTTGAAGGTGTTTCTCTGAGCTACAAAATCTGGAGTTGCTTTCCGTTCTCCGGCAGGATTCCTAAGAATTATAGTCTTCTGAATAATCTCATGGTGCTCGAGCTCAGCTACTATCATCTGGAGCGAGCAATTTCATCTTAGTTCTACAAGTGGCGTACAATGAATACGTGGAAAATCTCAGAAAATGCACTTGCTGGGCCTCCTCCAGCAACTCAGGGCAAGCTGTCCACTTTCTAAACAATGGACTTATCTAGTAACCTCATTTTCAATCAGATCCTGCTCAACAACCAGCGGTGGCTCATATATCTGGTCCAGATGATTATCTGGAAGCTGATTAGATGAATGTATGAGATATATTCGGAAAGGGCGGATCCATGGACTCATTCGAACCCAGCGCTTGGAACTCAAAAAAGCTTTTATACATATCAAAGATCCAGATATGGTACTATGCTTTCGAGACAGGAGCATATGTCTGTGGGCACAACTTTCTGACGTGACCATTTGTTGGGCGTGAACTGACTTCGGAGAGATGAAAAAGTTCAGAAATGTCAAAATTGAGGTCACCTTCATCAGGGAGCACATTCCCTGTGGTCTTGGTCCTCTTTAAGCTTTCAAGCCGTAGAACAATAATTTGACTCAACACAGAGTTTTCTTCAACACAGAGTTGCTCGCTCCGCCAGAGTTCCACTGCCTGCATCTTGTGTTGATACTAAAACATAACGTGACGTGTACCGTCGGTGAGGTACCATCGGGTAAAACTAAACTTAAAGGGTCCCGATCAAGTTAGGTTCCGATGGGGTCCCATCAAGTAAATACCTCAAAAAAGTTGCTTTACTGAAAAAGAGGCGTAAGAGATATCCGACAAGAAGAAGGTTTCCTGAATGCGATACACTTAATCATGACGACTGTTGCTGTTTCGTGTCAGCTGGCACAAAACATAGATATCAAAACTATTCTTCCGAACAAACGAACTCCGCACGTAACTAAACTCCGCGAAACAGATGTGAGACTCCTTAAGTATGTACTTGAGCGTATGGGACCTATTTACCACTAATAAGCGAGCAGGGTTGCCACTAGTTCTTGAATAGCTGCAGTGTTTGTGAAAGCTCCCGTAGAATGAGGGGCGAGGTGCCTGCAACATCCATTAGAGCTCCGAAGTTAGTGCCTCATTTCGTGACAGAAGGTTCATGTAGGAGAAACATAAGCTCGTGTAAATGATCGATCCTTCTCACCTGCCACCGTATCAACTGTCAGGACCCGTCGCAAAGCCTTATCGAGAGAAGGGTACCGGGGACGACCTTTCACGCACGTCACACAACCTGCAACAAGCGGGGTTCCGATTAAAATCGAAATACGAGGACTTAAGAAAATGCTGCGATTGATCACACCGCTACCTCGCAAGCACCTCTGCCACACTGCTCGGGCAGGACCCGGGCTCAATCAGGATGTAATGCACACCTGCCAGTATTATGTCCCAAAGGTCCGCTTCGTCTGCTTGCTCCAGTGATCCTCCTGCCCGCGAGACCTGTATCATTCCCAAGTAGTCTCAGTCCTCCTGTCCAGCCATGCGACAAACATACGCAGCAAGACTGTCGATCAGCCCTACACTGCAAAGTGGGCAGGAGATTATCGGAAGGCCAACTCCAGAACGGAGCGGTCCCTGCTCCACTTCACCTTGGCAATGCTCTCTACAGACTTGGTGATCAGCTGAATGATCTTGTTGACAACGCCTGGGCCCAGTTCTACTCGACTCCTCAAAGCATCTTCGCTGGTCAGAGCAAGAATGCTCACACACACGCAAGTCGCCATATAATTCTCCATATCGCTTGATCTTTGGCCTGGTACCGTCAAAATTGAAAGATGGCAGTCAATGATCAAATGGAGGAAGGAGATAAATCAGCTGCAACCCCCAAGCCTTAGTTATGGCTGGCTGAAGCACCGTCACTCATTTGCAGAACGGACTTTCCTACGACAACGTTTCAGACATATTCTGGTTCAAGATCTACTGATGACGAAACGCAAAACACCCAAAAGGTATGAGGATTGTGTTTCACCCGCAGAGGCCGCGAGAGGAGGTAGTACAGATGCAAATTCTCCGGCGCTTATACCAGCAATCTCGTCTTTCTGTGGAACGTAATTGAGATCTTTTTAGCAGTCAGCGGTGCAAAACCAAACAGCTGCACAAACGAGCCTACATCGCATCAACTCTAAAGACCACACTAGACGTAGCAATTTTCTTCTACAGAGAGATGTGGCTGCAGTACTCACGAGATTGAATGCATTACCTTGCTTAAAATATTTAGCAAGACGTCACAACCGTCCACCATAGCACCAGGAATTTGATTGTGCACGGTCCACGCCAGATAACTGGCTAACTGCATGTGGCCAAAAACGAGATTGAGAAGCCCAGACATCTGATCAAAGAACGCAGCATAGAGAGTTCAGGAGTTCAAATCGGTTCAAGTTATAGTCAACAAAGTATACCTCTGAACTCCTGACTCCTTTTGGATTAACAGCCTAGGAGCGATGGAACTCGCATGCTCAAAAAGATCATCAATTGTAAATCATTGTTTCCATATACGATGTACAAAAACATGGTAGTGGAAAGGATGCCGACGATCAACCATCAGATCAATTGTTTAGCGGTGGCAGCCACACCCGCTAGAAGTGTTCAGAACTTACCTTTTTATGGCCATTACAAGCGACTAATGCAGTGCACCCATCCACGGATAAGGTGATCTGGGTAAGGAAGGGTAGCATGAACTGCATCACTGCAAATGACCTGTAACACGATAAAATAGGTGACAGCTCAGAACCTCGAACGCAACTTCCAAAGTCCTCTTCAATAAGCGACTTAGTCGGAAAACGATATAAGCAAAAAAAATAAAAATGAGTACCTTTCATTAACTTTTGAAGTGACTGCGAGCATAAATCCCAGAAGCCTCAGACATCGTTCGCGATGTGCAGAAGGTGCTTCCGCCAGATATCTGCATTTGGATGGAAGGAATCATTTTCTGCCAAGCAGCTTAGAAAAGGGCAAAGCACACAGTTGGTTGATCAAAGTAAAGCTAACGGGAATAATGGCACCTGCTTCCAGGCAAATATTATGATTCAGAAAGAAGCTGTTAATCCAAAATGCTGCTTGAAACAGCCTTTTCTCATAGTGAGCACAAATTTATCGGTACCAGTGAGGTTTGATGAAGAGCATACCTGCTTGCAATGCGAACACAAGCCACAAGAATTTCACCTTCATTCTGATTACGGGCCTGCATCGTCAAGGCGAACCACTTAGTTATTACTGCCCGAGCAATTGGCACAATTTGTCCTCAAGCTTCCATCTTCACTGATCACAACATCCTCTGTGAAGCGCCATCTTCAACATAACGACGAGAATAAATGTGGTAGTAATGAGATGGAAGCTTTCATGACACAGGACTTGTCAGCTCTTGATGTTACCTGAGCGTCCTCCAAGAGTTCGATAACAAGGCCGACGACTTCGTCCAACACTTTTAACGTCTTTTGCAAAACTGTCTCATCAATCCTTTGCAGACTTGACTCGTTCATATTCTTATCTTCATCTGCAACACATACATCTATGAATGAGCAAAAAGGCCCAGGCTTGATTTTGAAGCTAAACATTGTGAATGAAAGTCAGATATTTAGAATCCGATGCGAACCCAATTAAGATCATAAAGCACAGGATGAGTAATATACATGGACCATTAACTAAAAATCGGACCAATATTATGATCATCGACCGGAATCATCACTAGCAACATTGCAACACGGTGAGCCTAAGTCGCTTCGAGGTCATCTGCCGGGATTGAATATAATATTCTCGAATAAGTCTAAACGATTAGTAAATTCTCTTCTCAATTATGAACATGCCACTAGTTCAAAACAAAGTTCCTTCAAGTGACTAAAAACCCGTGCAGTGTTTACCTTCTTGATTTGTAACAATGTTTATGACAGATTCCAATAAAGCAAAACAACTCATCAACCTGCGTTCCTTCACAGAACTTCCATCGGTTGTCCGAGGCTCCTGTCCAGGATCAAACGAGCTTCTAGCAACTTCATTCAAGAGAACTGCACTTTCCACTCTCAGTGTCTCCACTATAAGAAGAAAAAACCTGGACACACATCACCTTAGGAATCAGAACTGCTATAAGCATGACAAAGAATATGGAAGCGCATCCAATCTGTTGCGAGCATTACCTGTCTGGAGGTGAAAGGACCTTTTCGCCAGGGAGCACCATAGGCCCGACAAGCCAGGTGTCGCTTACTACTTCCACTATAGCTTGTGCGAGTTCCAAGACAATATGTTTTTGTTCAATGGCTGCAAACATTGACTTTTTTCGATCAGGAGCTAGTGTGGTACAAACGGGGACCACCAGATCTATGTACTGGATGCGCAAATCAAATCACAAATCACATGACCTTCAAGCTTCTCACAAATAGCTCGAAAAAAACAAATATGTTTGGCAAGTACCTACTCGACTATGCAAAATTTGCCCGAGTCCTGTTCTCGCAAGTGCAGCCCACTCAGGTGAAATCGGAGAGGTCCCAATTGCAACCCTAACAGGCATCTGCAAGCAGCCGTTTGAAGCAATCACTAATTCACATCTCCTTTGTACAGTACTCGTGAACAAACAGACAGTACCTCGTAGAACGATATGCATAACAAGTGATTCAAGCAGACCGAATAACTCTGGTACAATGTAAATACTCTATCTAAGGCATAACCCAATGCATAGGAAATTTGAGCAAATAAAGCAGAGGCCCAAAACGTGGCATTGATATCCAAGTGAAGAAATCGACAGATTCAAAGGACAGACATTTATGCACTATCCAGAACAGAAGCCCAGAAGAAAAGAACAGCGGGCAGAATCGATCCATAGAATGAAATGCAGGTATAAGAAACGTAGAGAGGAACATTGTTAGAAACCAAACGACGGATAATCTCGTACATGAAAGAAAAAACGAATGTTTGCCACTTGCACATACAGCACTTACCGAGATGTCAGAGACCAAGAGGGAATACAGAACTGCAAGCGCTTCGAATTTAGAGATGTCTTGCTTATCACAGAGCTGCCTCGCAACGGGTAATATCTGTAAAAAAGAAGTTAGAATACGAACTGCTCAGCTTTGAGCCTGCTGCAACGATGAAACAAGGAGTTCGATTCCACAGATTGATGAGAGGCTCCGAAATCGAAAGCTTGTCCGGACTAAAAACGACATCTGAAGTGCGAATCTATGTGCACAAACCGAATGGTCCAGGAAGTTCTCTCTGCCTCACCACAAGAGCCAGGTTTTGAGCATATTCTCTAACAGCGTTCTCGGCAGCTATCCTGGTCAGGAGGCAGTGGAGGAGCCTGACAGCGAGCACTGTCCACGAAGCCTCTGCAAACAAACGACCCACATCACGATGTGCATCTAATTCGGCGGCCGAACAGAATGGAGCAGGAACAGAAAAGGCATCTCAGAATCTGACTCGAAGTTACCCCGTGGGGAGAGATGGGCAAGACCTGAGGGGCTGCTGCTCAGACGATGGGCCACAACCGGCAGAGCTACGGGCACTGCTATGGACATCAACCCCTTCTCGGACGCCGTTGCTATCAGTAGAAGTGCCTCAAAGCAATCATGCGTCGCGGCTTCATGGTCCCTTCAAAACCACAGACCCAATAAGTGCCTCGGGCAGTGAGCCTGGCTGCATGCCGTTCAGATGCGGACTCCATCTTCAGAAGGACATATTTCACAGCTCAAGAGTTGTTACTGTTGTATTGCTTACTTGTTGGCAAGGGTCTGAAGAAGAACGGGAACTTTACTGATTGTTTCATCCAAAGATGCAAGTTCTGGCACCCGACAAAACGCGGCAAGAATGGACAGTGCTAGATGGAGATAGGATCGCTGCTCAGCTCTTGCCTTTCCGGACTGTCCGGCCTCTTCAATCAGCCCACACTTTGATCAGTCCATGTCGTGGAGGTATATGAAAAAGAATTCAAAGAATGGCTGTATTTGCGTTGCGAGAATTACTTCCTGCTGTGTCGGAGAGTTTTACGAGGAATTTCTTTCTAAAATCGTCGAGTTGCAATTGAGTGATGTGAAGTGACATGTACTACTAGACTTAGAAATAGACTAGAAAGTCAACACTTCAGTGCAAAGTAGTTAGGTTCTCGCAAGCTACCAAGCTCAATGAACAAGTTTGAGTCCCACTTTGCAAGGAAGCGCGAAATTTACACATCAATGCTACGAGTTTATTATCAGAGATATGAGCTTCAACGTTGTTGGAGCAGCCACTTCACCCTCCAAAGTAACACAGCATCAGGGCGATAGATGTGGAGTGCGCTTCCAGAATACGGGAACTCTCTTCCAGCAACAACAGAATTGAGGAAAAAATCAGAAACAAGTTTCGAGTACCTGAAGTGTTGATGAGTCTGTTGGTGAATTGAAACCCAATGGCGTCGAAAACCTTCCGCACAGCGTCGAGGTCATCGCCCTTAACGAATTTAGTGACCAGCAAAAGTCCCACTAATCGCTGCTCGTCGCTCTCGCCACGGAGAAGCTTCAAGCAATCTTCCAAGCTCGGCTCCTTCGCCTTCGCTTTCTCCATTTTCGCCGTCCGCCTCTCCAATTCTAGACTCTGACGACCTCCTTCCTCTACCTCGTAAAAAAAATTTGAATCCGCGAGCGAGATTTCCCTCGCTCTTGCAGCGAGAAGGTGAGTACAGTACTCGAACTCGAATTCTCGTGTTCTCTCGAGACTCGCATCCCGGAACATTGGGGAAATTCCGCATTTTCCTAATTAAATATTGGCAAAATTATGGTTAAAGACAATATTTTTCGTTAAAGTAAAGTAATTATGTCTAGCAGCAGGAGAACACGATTACAAGAATCACCAACTTAGTGCCAGATCTTTGAGGAGGGCGCATGGTTAATATAATTGGAACAGATGGATGGAGTATTAAAGGGATGCACTTATGCGCATGCAAAATGTGCATCACGTAGGAACTTGTCACTTTATGCGCTATTTTGCCTTTCAGGTCTTCTTGCAGGTCCCGAGTTCAAGGGAAAAGCTAAGCTCTCGCCTTGTACGTCACGATGAAGGGATTGTCATCTCCGTGCTGATTGATCCCCTCCCTTTTGGGCGACGAACTTCAATATTTATGTCAGTGGTTGGATTGGATGGCATAGAGCAGAATTAAGCTGAATTGTGTTGTGGGAAAGAATTCGTGTCAAGTTTTCTTCGAGGTGGTCATACACTCTCTCGTCTGTGGTGGTGACAAGCATGACCATGGCAATGTTGGAAGCCACTCCAGTTCTGGCCTTGTTGGGCTGCGGAATCTTCGCGAGGGATGCATATTTGCCCATCCTCCAGAACATCAGAACATGTCTCTCTCTGCAAGTGGTGTGGAGCAGAACCCAGGTGCGTATGCTCTGAATGTTGCACTTTGACACCGGGTCCGCTTGATTCAAGAACAATTAGTTGTATCAAGTGCGTTGGACACTCCATCCACCGAAACATTATTGCTGCTGAATTTGTAACAAGCTCTGTCATCCCCCTCGAAACCGGGTCCTCAACGATGGGTTTGGATGAGGCGCTAAACACAAAATGCTCGATTTCCTGTCGAGGACATTGTCATAGAATCATATAATTACATGCTTTTCACTTGATGTTGTTACGATTCATTGTGAAGATAAGCACGATACTAGTTTTGCAAAGTATCTGTTGTTTCTCTTGGAGAGATTGTTGGCTTCCAAGTCCACCCGTCCAGCAGGAATCTACTTCAATCCAATCTGAGCTACTACAGAGATCTTTTCCTTGATCTCCAAGCTTGTCTTTCTTTCTCCCTTTCTCCTAGCCACTGTGAAAATAAGAATCTCATTGAGCCTGGCCTGTTGATAGCAAGCATAACACCAAACCTCAAAGATCCCGTCTTTAAGGTTGCATTTTGTAGGCTCGCATCCCTGAACGTCAATGCTAAGGGTCTGCATAACCCAGTTGATCAACCAACGTAACCCCCAAATAGACTGCTTTGAGCTATCTCGCCTGAATTGTCTTAGAAAAGCATCGCCATGACTTCATGAAGGTTGTTATGCTAGGCTTCCGCCGAGAGTTTGCTCTCCAAGGTCAGGGAGTTTTCACCAAAAGCTGAAGCTGAATGGGGAGAAGAAGGTTTGGAGCGTATCCTGTCCTCTCCTCACATCCACTGCTGCGCTGTTGTACTGCCAATCCTTGTACAGGTTTGTACTTTCATTCTGAAGATTGAATTAAGAAGATCACTTTCCCTCCAGTCTAAACCGCTTCCCACGATAACACAGCAAATCTAACGACATAAGCTTGATAGACCAGAACTAGCGTTCAGTTTGAGTAAGGCTGCAAAGGTTCAACGAGTGAAAGCAAAATACATAGAATTAACTAAACGTGCTGGTGCGCTTAATTGAATTGTTCCTTTTGGAACGTCAAATATGAAGCAAGTGTCCTATTACTGATGAAGTGAAACTGCCCTCTTGCACCGCTAGCCTGGGATCGTCTTCAGAGCACTGTGCGCTGGGAAACACGTGCTTCAAGGTGCCCAAACATTTCTTGATCCTAACATATATACTTGCGTGTTGTCGATTGCTGTTGTACTTTTCCATCATATTGGCAGTGTACGACATGTGTGAGGGGTTTTTTAAGTTCTGCTTGGGTAATCCACTATAATCTCAAAGTGCTCATCACATTTTCCTGTTTTTGCAGAAAAACCTATTGCTGGAAGTATGTTCTGTCGACCTTCGATCAACTTAGGCTGTTAAGGGTCTTGTTTAGGCTGCCACTTTGGAATGCCCATGATATACGCGAGCGAAGAGCGAAGTCTCATAATTTTCTTTGTTCTTATACTGAGAGAGGATTCTGAGTTCGTTTTATAGAATTTATTGGTTTGATTTCTATATTTAATCCAGCTCGGTTCTATCAATCCAATTCACTCTTCGTTCTTTGATCATCTACTTTTATTAGCCATCCATCTGCAAATGATGAAGATGCTCCTGCATTGGGGCTGATGCTTTAGGCGATTCAAACCTGAGTAACGGTAGGGTCTTCCCCACTCATTTGCTAGTCTTAAACTTGTGTTCGTGCAGCGATGAGTGAGGGGATCAAATCTTTGCGAAATTTTACTTCTCACTTCGAAGGATGCGAAGACAAAACTCCTATCTGGGCTGTGGCAGAAAACTTCCGGTTTGAGCCTGCTTTTTACAAGGTAATCTGCATTTCGATATTGTGATTCATGTAGCTGTCAAGTGCCCGGTCGTGGTGTAATATTCGGAAATTTTTAGGAGTTTGTTTCACTGCAATAGAACCTGGATCTGATTCTCATCGTGCCACCTGACATCAATCATCTACTCACTGATCAAAGTCTAACGGCTATCGTTCATCATCTACTCACAGGCTCAGAAGATTATCAGCAGTCTAGGTTCAGTTGTGGTGGTGCAGGTTAACATAGAAGTGCCAATGAATGCCAAAAGCAAGTACTTCGAAAGCGAGTGGAGACGAGATCCTGATCTGAAGGTAGCTAATACAGCAAACCGCCCAGTCGAGATTCCTAGGATGTAAAATGTGATCATTTCCAGCGCGGAAATGAGAATCCGATCGTCGAAGGGGTATACCTGTACTAGCATTCCGTGGTCAAGGATTTAAAGAGGCCGCTGGCTGATGTAACACGGCATGATCATTTCTGCTTAGGTTGTTTGGAAGTTTATACAATCTCCTCAATTTGATGTCATATTCTGTTTTTGGGCTGGAGATATTTCTAGATAACAGACCGGAAAAAGTAACTGTTTATCTGGTGGAGCAGTTTCATACTTATTTTTGATCTTGTCATGAAGGGTGCTTTCATTACGGATTGTGGAGTACATTTTGTTGCCGGCCTGAGAGCAATGGTAACACACGTCAAACCCTTCATTTTGTGGTGTCCAGACAGTCGGATCGAGGTCCATAGAGTCAACGTGGGCCATATCCAGTCAAGGTTTGAGTTGTCAATAGTTTGTCAGCAAGAGATACGGTATGAAGTAGTTAGCGCTTCTTCATAGACGGGATTCAAAGGCCGAATCTTCGGAGTGACTTTTGAGGATTTGATTAAACACAATGTAAGGTCTTGAGACACTAAATTATAGGCTCGTATGAGCAGAATTCTCAAAGTGCTCCGCATAAAACTGGTCAAAAACCTGCTGTTTTTCTCAGTCGTCAGTCTTGAGATGGTGTGTGCAGATGGGAGGGAACGATATTGTGTCGGTTGCAGCTATCACAACTCACAGAGATGCCCTCGTGCCACCTCCTGACACTCTGACTGCTTTGATGTACGCACTGACTCCCCTGAAAGTCAGACAGGGCACACGTTACCGTTTCCTTTCTTTGCAGTAACCTACGGCTGAGATCGGAGCGCTCCCAAAAGAAGTGATAAAAGCAGGGAAGAGGTTTGGAGCGAGGCCATCATCAAGACTGATGAGTGCTCTGGATGTTTCCATGTGATGAATATATTTGCAGGAAGTTTCGTAATGGATTCTCTGGTGTGATGGTCATAACTTACTCTTCTTCGAATTATAAGGTCAGATATTTAGAAAATTGAAGACTTGAGTGCAGAAGTACCTGCAAGAATCGTTTACGAAAACCTGGGGACTGTCGCTAATATCGTCTATGATTCATCGTGTGCATCTAGGCATCTTGGCGGGTGGTCTGTTCTGAGGGTTCAGTCGAAGTGGAGAGAGGATTCAAGGATTCTCAGTTCGGTTACACTGTGAGTATTCAGGTTTACAGTTCTAACTGCGAAGTTGCTGGTTGCAAAATCGCTGCTCACTTGATACCATGTAACTAACCCGCTCAACCGATCCAGGTCACTTATACTCCACTTGAGGGCAAGGGCAGTTCAGAATTTGTTCCTTTATATGGTTTGGAGGCAGAGCTACGAGCCTTTGCAAGTGATGTACAAAGAAATATCTTGCAGGTTTGTGATGATCTTGCTGTAACACATCATTTTGTTTTTTCTACTGATCCTTGTGAACTCACGAACCTGGCCTTGAAAACATCAATATGTAAACGAACATACAAATAGAGCAATCTTTTGGGACGATGAACGATGGAAAGGGATAATCTAGGCTGACGTCAACGCAGTTCACGTGAGCTTGCTGCCAGCTGATTATTTATAGCGTTGTTTCCCTGATAACGCTTGGCTCAAGCAATGCCTTGTTACAGTTGTTCAGTTTCCTTACATTTCCAACTTACCGTGGTTATCCAACTGAGTGAACTATTGGGAATTCGGATACAGGTTGGCCTCATACCGGACTGGAGGAGCTCACCACCTGAAGCTTTGCAAGACTTGGCAATAATTGAGACATGTCTTGCATCAGGTTCACGTAAGGACGCACCAGTTGCCATGGGAATACCTTTGGTGAGTGAGAGAATGTGGACAGAGAAATCCCAATGAGCTTATATCACATAGGAGAAATCTTCCCCACTTGTGTCATGCAGACGTCCTGCTACTGGATTAACCAACCTCGAACCGCTGGAGTAATCATCGATGGCCCATCGACGATGGGTCAACCGTTCTTGAAGTCGACGACAAGCATTTAGACAGCCAAGGAATAAGATAGCCACAGCCCTGGCCTCATTGTAACGAGCCACCTTGTTGAAGTGTTGAGGAAAGAATCTTGGCGTACACAGAGTGATAGGAAGTCACCAGGAGCCCGAAATGTTTCCGGGCTGCAAAACTACGCAGCCAATCGAGCGGAATTGGTAAGTGGAAGATGGGACAAGACTACGAATGTCTTGACACCAGTACTTGCATAAAGCTTCTGCCGGCCCCATCGGGCAGAGGCTGTTTTGTCCATAGTCAATGACATTGACGTGTGACAATAAGGTAAATCGACGCACATATATTTTTCCTCGTATGTGCGTCCATTCACTGGAGTTGCGAGGTCTTTTCAACCTGAGCACGCTTAGAGTGCAAATTTGAGATGATTAGCACAATGCGGTGTCCAACAAGTGGATACAAGTTCATCTTGTAAACAGAAAATGTCTATGGAGTCAAGTGGACTGTAGAATTCTGACATTGAGCAGAATGATGATTTATGTAAATGTAATCGTTTCTTGATTTTATTACAAGAAGTGGAGATGGGAGTTGTGACCCGCTTGAAGTAATTTTTGTTTGCAAAGTCCTCTTCTTGATTTATTAGCTTTCTCAGTAACAGATCATCAAAATGGAGTGAGCACTGTACCTAATCAAAAGTAGACACAAGTAAAAAACTTAAGCAACACGTAATGAGACTGGGTTTAAAACCTCTAGAAGCCAAGAAGTAATAGAAGAAAATTAAACAAAACTCCAACAATTAATCGTTTGTAGAGACAAAGGTATCACTAAAGTGTCATATTAATGGATAAAATCTATTGGATGGGAGCATTCTTCTTAGAATGGTTTTCGTTGATTTCCTAATCAGCCATCAACAGAGTGAGATGCATCGTATTCATCTTGCGCGTGATCATTAATGCCTTGTCGAAGAGCAATATTAAACCAAGATGCAAAGTTGTAATTCCATCAAATCAAATGTACACATCAATGTGAGGAAGTTGTCATAAGCGCGTGATCATTAATGCCTTGTCGAAGAGCAATATTAAACCAAGATGCAAAGTTGTAATTCCATCAAATCAAATGTACACATCAATGTGAGGAAGTTGTCATAAGCGTTGAAATTTTAGCCTCATGCTTATTTTGATGGAGTTGTCAATATATATTACATTGGATTTTGAAGTTTCAATATGCATCTAGTTGTAGATTATCGCAAAATACAAGAGAAGTATGACAAGAGGATAAAAATTGTTGCTTTCACTTCACTCAGAGAAAAGTCGAGGCTCAAAGACGGAAGATCAAGAAGTGGATTCAAGTACCTACACACATCTAAGTTTTAAGATTTTAAGTCATTCTGGAGCAAATTGCAAGGTCGGATGTATTAAATACACAACATTCCTCGTTTGACAACCATTGAATACCAGTAACTTACTGTGTACCTGCCCTTGTACTCTTGATAAATCTCGCTTTGTCTTTTACATTTCGTTTAAAAAAGCAGACACTTTGCACCATGTATTGATGTAGATAAAATTGTCATTGTACAGCGATAGTTGTAGTAGTAGCAACAAATACCATATTTCAAACAATAAAAACTTCATTATAGCCATTAAATGCGTAATTTACATTTCTCTACAACTCATAATTCAGGCAATCACGATGTCTTTTTTTGATAATGCCAGCCAAAATCAAGATTTTCTTTTTCATTCTTTGTCATGTGTATACACGTTAATGCGAGTTGTAGATCAACGTTGGATTTGAGTTTGAATTTGAGAACGTTGAGACGCGATTGTCGGTCGAGTAGCATATGTTGGATCAACTTTCCATTGGGAGAATAGTCGAGGCAAGCTCAAAAAACTGTCCGTTCTTCGAGTTGAGACTTTCGCATAGGGATATGTTAGTTCCCGCTAGCTTTGACTCTAGGTCTCATATTGGACTGAGTTTGGCTCGACTACCATGTGGACTTTTGTGTTATCTTGCACATCAGATTTTCAGTCAAAGATTTTCACGGCGTGGATACAGTCTTAGCGATGAACGAGACTACCATGTGGACTTTTGTGTTATCTTGCACATCAAATTTTCAGTCAAAGATTTTCACGGCGTGGATACAGTCTTAGCGATGAACGAGGTAGCGTTGCAGGCGCTAGAGGCGGAGTATGATAGTCGGCGAGGACCGTGGGGATTTACCTGGAGTGTATTGAGGTATCGACTATCTCTACCTATCTCATCGGTTGTTGTGGAGTAGTAGGGTGTTGCAAATATCACATCTTCTATGATGATATCATCTAGTGTCCCAAACTTGTTGATTTGGGACATGGATGGGATGTACGGAGCCATGAAGTGCCCGCGGCGGTACTCTATGAATGTTACTCCTTTGCTATTACACTCACTCAGTCCTTGTAAAACAACCAACGCTTGGTCTCCGCTAAGGTGGAAAAGTCACCTCAAGCATCACTGATCTTCAGAATCTCGTCTCCTCGGATCGACTCCCGTGCTCCCACCAACCTCTATTCTACTCGACTTCTCTTCTCAAAAACCTGGACGGTGCAGAAGCGAATACTCTCAAGTTTTTCCACCAGCCCAAGCACTTTCTCCTCTGCCTGCTCCTACTACTCCAAAACCAAAACCTCATAGCACTTAGTTAATTTGAAGTAGCATTTTGAAGAAAAAAAAAAGAAAAAACAAACAAACTAACTAAACTGAAGTCTACTTCTCACACTGCAAAAAGAAAACTAAAGAATTTTGAAAAAACTCAGGATTTTGAGATTACACAAACTATTGACAAGATTCAGACAACAGAAAACTCAAGAAAACTTCTGAGACTACACAAACTGTCAACCGGGTTCAAAAGACTGAAAAGACAGAAAAAAGAAGAAAACTTCTTCGATGAAGAAACTTTCAGAAAATCAAATCAAATTTTTTCCTCTACGTGGTAAAAACACTTAACCAAAACCTAGATTTAACTCCAAATCGTAGCCTAGCTCTGATACTAATTCTTAATCATATAATGAGGAATCATTCAAGCCAAGTAGAAACACACGACACACTCATATAACTCGGTTCATTCTCAAGGGCTACGTCCACGGCTGAACCGCATGAGAAGCTTTACTGAAATTGAATACTGAAAATGCTCTATCCGAGTAGAAGCCTTGAAGGTATATTTATACCCAAAGCCAACGACATACCTAACTATAAATAGTTATAACATTAGGTTAATGTCAACAACTTTTACCTGAAGTGGTGTAAACTTACTATACTATCTAGTATTTGAAGAAAAATGTCGGGATAAAAATATATGAACAAAATGAGCAAATATGTATTTTATAGGGTCTAGAAAAACATTGGTACACTTTTAACTAACATACATAATTAGTTTCTATTCATAATTCTAGAGACATGCTATCACATTAAATTTCAAAATTGTATGTTATTGAGATTTAATGAGGTTAAGCTATGATGGACTTAATTTTTTAAATCGATTTATTTTAAATCTGTGGAAACGAGTAGCAAGTAGAGTGACTGAATAAACTGCATTCTGATAGGATGATCAAAATTTAAATATCATTTATAAGAAGACTATCAATTGATGACATTATAAAAGTGCTTGAAATGAAAGAAGTTTGCATGTTCTATGTTGGTTGTAAATTCTTTGCATACCAGTTGTGATTGAATTACAAATGGGTACAAGTATGTAGTAAAAAACGACACAAAAATCTTTCGTGTAGAATGGTTGAATACATATGTCTACAGACATAATCCCCGTAACTTGACAGCTCTGTACTGATCTCACATGTATACAGATGATGATCAGTGAAGCATTTCCGAACAGTCAATCTCGAGTTTGTGCATATCGAACACGCAACCAGATAATGCGTAGAGGCAGAGATAGATGAAGTACAAGATGGGAAAATAAATTGTATCCTAATGCGATTAAGAAGAGAAGAAGTGTTGATTTTGTAGTGCCGAACATCTACAAACTACCAACCTGGTACTGCGTTGTGTCCGTCTGTGCAAGGAACGACGTAGCGGACAGTAGTTCGTGGACTGGACTGCGGTATGACCAGCATGGCCGTCGGAGCTTTCTTTTGGTTCGTGGCGTTGAGAGAGCGAGATGGAGAAGGAGGGAGGGGGAGGAGAGTGAGGAGGAGACCGAGAACCCACTCTGCGCTGCTGCTGTGCTGTGCTCTTGCGGGAACGCCAACTTCTCCTGCTCCTTCTCCCACTGCCCCTCGCGCTCCACTCTTCTCCGCTCCTCGTCATTCCGGTCTCGTCTGTGCGCTGGCTGCCTGCTTTGCCGTCTTCCTTGCTTCCTGGCTCTGCTGCTGCTTAGGGCTCTGCCTTCGAGTCCGGTCTGTGTTCGTCGTCGTTGCTCGATCAGCCTCGAGCGCCTGGCCAGATTTTTCGATCGCTCTCTCCGATTGATCTGATCTTGGCTATGGCGCAATGGCGCCTGCCGATCCCCTCACCCCAGGTAAGATCTCCTCGGTCCATGGATCCGTCGTCGAATGTTCGATCGGGCGAGCGGCCGATCTGTGTGCAAGCGCGTGATCAGTCGGGAAGGGTTAACTCGTGTGCCCTCAATTGGATAGGGAAGTTAGTGCGTCGTGCCTTGGTTTTTCTCTTTTGTTAAGCATGTTGCCGAGAGATTCGCCGGGGAGATGGGGACCAGATTGTAGAGGTTGTCGATGCGGTGCTTGTTCAGGTCGAGAGGATGGGAGTTTTCCTTGTTTGTGCTGCTAGTTTATTGCGGACCTGTCTTGTTCGGGCCCAGTGTGAAATGCACTCGTAGTGATGCTTCTGGGGAAACTTGCGGTGTTCGGAAATGTGACTCCCTTCGTACTTTTGCAGAGCAACAGCAGGTGTTAGAGCTGACGCGACTGGCAGGTCTCAACATCCGCGATGACATCTTTGTAATTGTAAGTCTTGCTTTTCCAGGGCTTTACTATCACTCCCCTTCTAATTCGAGATCCGATCTGCTGCTATAAGCGTAGAAGAGATTAGCCTCGGGCAACTTTGCGGGATTGGTATACCTTTTCGGACGTAAGTCTGATGGTTTAGCTCAAGGGGCTATGAGTGAAGGATCGTGACTTGGTTGAATTTTCGCCAATTAGGTTGGTTTACGGGTAGATGAGAAAATGCAATTCTTTAGAGTGATGAACTACTGTCAGCAGTGTAGTTCCTCTAAGCACGTTACAGTAAAATTGCAAGTTGAAGTACATGCCGCGCACAATTCAGCGGGCTAAGCCGACCAACTATAGTGAGGTTTCCGCTTTGACTTGCTTACATTTTTAGATGAGTATGTAGCTTTGATTTGTACTGACTTGTCCAAGAGCGATTTATGGTTGAATCCCACTGTTGAACTGAACTCATTCTGTTTGTAGACCGCTCTTATTACGAGTGTCTACAGTAATGATTAACATCCATGGTTCTTTTGTTCCAGTATGTGGAATTGCTCCACGGATGTAACTAACCGCGTTACTCACAACTTTACTGTTTTTCAGTTGTTGGAGTTGATGCAAAGTGACGCGACGCCCATGTTGGTCCTGCAAGTGCTGCGATCGCTGGCTGGTGTTGCTCCTCAGTCTAGTCCTCCTGCCACCGCATCAGCCAGATCTTCATTTTCTGGCCGCTTCACCTAGGTGCAGATGAGGTTCTAATCGAAATTGTCAATAGCTAAAAAATTTAGAGGGTCATCATGACGGGTGCCGCATCGGCAGTGTTTTTATTGGACATGAAGGGTAGAGTTTTAGTGTGGCGAGATTATCGTGGCGATGTTTCTGCTGCGCAAGCTGAGCGCTTTTTCAGCAAGCTCATGGACGGAGAGGTGAACTATGTTTCTTTTGCAACGCTTTTTCGAAAAATCTTGGCTTACATTGTTTTGATCCCAGTATTGTAGTATGCCGTGCTCAGAATGCTTAGAATACCAAGTGTTTAATTCTTTTATATCTTCATCATAAGTCATAAGTTTCCAGCACGTCTCGGCCTTGTGTGTCTAAAGTGTCTGAATTTGTCTCGGCCATCAATTGTTACTCGTTGATACTGTTGAATCATGATCATCTCATGTAATGCAGACGGACCCATCCTCCCACGAACCTGTTGTTTATGACGACGGTGTCACATATCTATTTATACAGTACAACAACGTGTACGTCATGACTGCCTCGAGGCAAAACTGCAACGCAGCCAGCCTTTTGCTCTTCCTACACCGTGTTGTTGATGTAAGTTTGACCTTTCAAATATCCGACGGTTGCGGAGCTGTATAAAGGACTTTTGAACGTCGAATGCTCTGAAAATAGTTCAGTAACCAAGAGAGTTATGTCATGTTGCTATTCGCACGAACGTAATTGGTTTAGGTTACATTCGGGCCGTCTCAACGCTGTTCCTTGTTGCATATCGACAGAACACTGTGTCGCGTTGCTGTTCGCATTTTGTCGATTATTATCTTACAGCTGCCCTACTGGCCTTGTGGCTTGCAGGTGTTTAAACATTACTTTGAGGAACTTGAAGAGGAGTCACTGCGGGATAACTTCGTGGTGGTGGTACGTATGTCTTTTAGCCAAAGTAAACAACATTTTGTTTGCTTCGAACGGTTTAGTTTAGGTCAGGTCGATGCTTACTGTTCGGTGATTGTTTGTCCTACAGTATGAGTTGCTAGATGAGATGATGGACTTCGGTTATCCTCAGTACACTGAGGCGAAGATTTTGAGCGAATTTATCAAGACCGATGCGTACAAAATAGAGATGACCACGCGACCTCCAATGGCTGTTACAAACGCTGTATCATGGCGAATGGAGGGAATCAAGTACAAAAAGAACGAGGTGAGATGCAGATCTTTAAATAGCAGTAGATTGCACTTGTAGTCGTAGATCTCATTAATACATCATTCTTAAATGAGTATGTTATAAAGCGGAAATACTTTGCAGATATATACGTGTGCTGATGGTACACTATTTTGATCAGGTATTTTTAGATGTGGTGGAAAGCGTGAATATTCTGGTGAACAGCAATAGTCAACTTGTTCGGTCCGACGTTGTCGGTGCTTTGAAGATGCGCACATACCTCAGGTATAGTTCGGGCATCTTGTGCAGAACCATGCATTTCTTTTGGACATTTTTTTTTCCAAGTAACTCTACAGTTTGTTTGAACTTGGCTTTAATGTTATCGCATCTCCAGCCTCTGGGCTACGTTCAATCGCTTCATTCTGAATAAAACTTTTACTTCTGTGTCCAGCGGAATGCCAGAATGCAAACTTGGTCTGAATGACAGAGTGCTGCTTGAAGCACAAGGTCGAGCAACCAAGGGGAAAGCAATAGATCTGGATGATATCAAATTCCATCAGTAAGCATCTGACCTACAAGGTTTTCCTCAGCAGAGCTAACCTAGTCCGACACATTAGCCCATCAATGTGTCGGACTAGGATTGCTAGGCGAAAGCCTACTACCACCCACTTGTCATTCTTTATGGTTTTCCCATGGTGTCGCTGTCTGCTTTCCTAGTTTCTAGACGACAGATATAACCTAGTCCTACAGTAGACAGAACGTTATCCTGGTATTTCCTGTTTTGCCTAAAGGTTTCCAGTTTAAGTACCGCATAGATATACTTGCTGTAGCTTTGTACCTTTCCGCATACTTCTTGTTCCTCATTCCATTGGTAATTTCCATTTCCTTTACTGCAGGTGTGTGAGACTTGCCCGCTTTGAGAACGATCGCACCATCTCATTCATTCCTCCTGATGGTGCTTTTGACTTGATGACATATCGTCTTAGTACACAGGTATTTCTCCATCTAAGTTCCATCTTCCTTCGACTTACCGTGGAAATTTTGTGGATGTCATGAAGCAACTTCCTTCAAGAGGATTGATTGATTCTGCATATCAGTCATTATGATCAAGACTCGAACGAATCTAAAGCATTGCTATTATGATTTCTTTTCCAGGTGCGGCCACTGATCTGGGTCGAAGCCCAAGTCGAACGTCACTCTCGAAGTCGAGTAGAGTACATGGTGAAAGCACGCAGTCAGTTCAAGGAGCGGAGGTAAGATATAGTCCCGAAATTATTAACGCTTCTCTTTTGCTGATGTTCCAGCTGTATTTATCAGCTTGGGGTATTCTCGTGGTCAGTTTCCTCATTGCTCCTCTACTCATGAGGATATGGCAACTGTGATCCTTTAAAATTGATGTAGATTGCTGGATATCTAAGTTTGTTTCTTAATGTTTTCCGTTCCTCCAAAATTGTTAGGAATTTATTTTTTCGCTGTGATGGTAAATGTCCTTGAAGGCCTGAATACGAACTGAAATTTGTGTGTGATCTTCACAGTACCGCCACAAACGTGGAAATTGAGTTGCCAGTCCCATCAGATGCTACAACGCCAGCTGTCCGCACGTCTATGGGATCGGCCGTCTATGCTCCTGAAAGGGAGGCACTTCTGTGGAAAATAAAATCTTTTCCCGGTGGAAAGGTGCACATCTTTACAGAAAGCACCCCGTCCTTCGGCCTTTGCGTTTACTAACTGCAATGTTACTTAGAAAAGCGTGTAGTCTAAACCTACTTCCTTGCCTTTTTGTAATATGACGTTAATCCGTAGCTTTGTTGTAAGGCTGGTTCGTGTGAGGTAGATTCGACTTCACAATTCAGACTAGTATAAAGTTTTGTCAAATACTTTGGTCTGCAGGAGTACATGCTGAGGGCTAAGTTCGGACTTCCAAGTATAGCTGCGGAAGAAACTTTGCCTGAAAAACGGCCACCCATCCGAGTAAAATTTGAAATTCCTTACTTTACGGTTTCAGGAATTCAGGTAACGATCGCACGGGACTGGCATTAAACTCGGCCCTGTTGTTCATAAGTTGGCAGGTTTCTCATGTTTTGATGAGTTGTAGCCTTTCTACATAGGTTGTTCAGTCACCTGTTAGATCGATTCTCAACACTCCGCACAGAGTCTGGATCGCATGACCACTATTGTAGGCCTTGTGTTGCTGAGGGTTCTTATCGAGGTTCGTGACCTGCGCAGGTGAGGTATCTGAAAATCATAGAGAAGAGTGGATATCAAGCACTTCCATGGGTACGCTACATCACCATGGCCGGCGAGTACGAGTTGCGGATGATCTAGATCATTTTCATTAAGTTGCCTTACAACCACTGCAGGAGGTTCAGGCCTTCAGCCGATAAACTCGACTAGAGCAATTGTACCAGCTTCCTTTTAGGCATGCCTCGTGTCAGAGTTGGGTGACTACTGATAGTAGCACTACGGAAGTAAGGGTCGGTGCTGCGAGTATACTACCGTAGGTCACGTACTCATTTAGATCAGGTCCCGGATGTATGATATGGATGGGACGAGTAGTGTCACCGTTTGTTTATTACGTCTACCAGAACTTTCATGTGATTACATTTTAATTGTACTGAAAAGTGGTATTTGAGTAGGATTTCTACATCCGTCTGCACACTTCACTTCCAGACATGACGACTTTTGGCTGCCGATATTGCACCTTTCTCTACCCATCTTTCTTTGTTGTCTGCTGACGACAGTACCTGTCGAATTGATCATTTTTTGAATAAAACAAAAGTTTCACTACGATGCCTCGTGCCCGATATTATCTTTTATTTCTCTGACTTCACGGTGCAATATGTGAGACGAACATGAGTATAGTCATCCCTTTAAGGGTGGCTCTCCTGGTCATTAAACACACGCTTCACTCCAGCCAAGAACTGTTGGTGCTTGGAAGAGAGTCGCAACCTGGGAGGACGATGCATTCTTGTTGAAAACCGATAAGGGCGTCTAGTACCCAGAAGGGAGGAGACGGTACGTCAATACAGGAAAATGTTCTTAACTTGGTTAATGTAACCCGAGGCCTAAGACGCCGGTAGACTGAAGGACAAAAGACTGGAAGTAGATGAAATTGCAAATGAGCTGAATCAAAACAGCACGCAAGAGAAGGATAGTCAAAACAAAAGTGAGGCAAAGCAACGTCGTTCACTAAGATTGCAGGGGTATAGAAATTGAATGATTCTTGAATGTTTACCATGAGTGAATTAACGCTTCTCTTTTGTGGGGATGGTGAGAATAATGGTAAATGGTAATAGATCAAGCCGGGGGACCCAAAAGGTCAAAAAACACAATACAAGGAAAAGACCCTAAAAGTCGATCCCAAAAGCACTAAAACGATCATTAATAATGTCCCTAATATAATAACCTAAATCAAAAGTAACTGATTGTAACAAAAAATAAAAATTCTCTGTATCAATATTATGAACCACTCTAATCTCTACGTATCTAGTACAAGTAAGAAATACATGCTCTTTATACTCAAATTCTCTTCCATCACATAGCCTATAAATACGTTCACTCCTATCAATATTAAGCCACCGTTCTTCCTCAATTCCAAACCTATGACATCTAGTTCTATGCCTAGCAATAATATGACGTAAAGACATAAAAATTCCTGCGAGTAGGTAATACTGTTCACAATAAACAAGGATAAGATTTACATGAAATTGATAAAATTGCGTCTTGGTGTCGCGCTTGCTCCAAATAATGTTCAAAAACTACTCATTTAGACGTTCACGTAATATAGGTTGCAAGTTCCAGTCGAGTTCCGTACATTCCACTTCAACGACCAAGTTATCACATCTGCTAACCATCCTTTGGCACGTGTGGCATTCAAAGCTTGAGGAGGAAAGCAAGAAGCATCAAGAGATCTCACCCTTTCGATGTAAGTGATGGTCAAGTATAGAGCTTCAGCCTCTAGAGGTAAACAACCTGTTTCCGCAAGAAGAATAGCATATGAAGTTTGGTTTCTCACACCCAATTCTTCTTGTAGAAATATCTTCTGCACCCTCTCCACACGCTCCCCACCTGTCTTCTTACAACTAGAATCCCACACCTGGATTTCATACAATACCAAGGGCAACACTAAACTTCTGAATAAAAAATTCTTAAGACTCAAAGTCACAAGATGAGCCATTCTTCACCAATTTAGCAATGAATATAGAGCTTTGTAACCACCTTCTACTCTCTTTTGCACGCAAAGTGCTCAACTATAATCATTAGAAAAATCAGTGCCTAGATATTTATAACTCTTCAACTCTTCTAATTGTAGATCTTGGTAATAGAAATAAACTTGCATCTAGTGCCCACTATCATGACTTTAGACTTCTCTATATTTATCTCCATTTGATTCTCGGTACAAAAGCTAGCTTAAGTGTATAGGTGTTTTTGTAAACTAATTGCATCACGTGCTAGTGATATGCATACAAGAGAGCTTTGATAACAAAGTTTCCAAGCTTGACACCTTCACTATCACATGCCTCCAACCACTCTTCGATATCATCTATAAAAACTCCGAATAGAGTAGGAGAGAGAGTATAACCTTGAATCACTCCAATGGTACTCAAAACCTCTTCAGTTTGAGAAGTATTGATCTTGGCTCGAACAGAATGGTATAACGTGGCCACAGCTGCTAGAAGATCTGATGGTACTCCAATGACTTGCAGCCTTTCCCATAATAGCTCACGAGGTACGGTGTCAAAAGCTTTATTAACGTTAATGACACTGCAAAAGCAATGAAATCATTTCCAAATGCGATAAAAAACTGACAGTTGTGCTAATATCTCCATAACTGTGAAAATCACCTTGACTTTACCAACTCCTTTCAATTGTTGAGTGAGTTCAAAATTTTGGTTAAATCTTGTTGAAAAAAAAAATCACCAAAAGAATGGTGTTTGGTGAGATTGTTTATTCTAAACTTGAAAAAATATGAACAATGATGAATTATTTCATCATAAAATAAGACTGTGTATTTATTACAATTCATAGTTTGTAGTTGTAAATTTAAGTTTTATTTTGTTTCAATAATACTTTTTAATTAATCTTCATGGACTTTACAGTTTGAAAATAATTTCCTCTACTAGATGATGGTTTGTATCAATATATTGAAAGGTTCTAAATATAAAATAAATTTTCATAAATTTTTGCAATTTGGTATTGAATACTCATTTTGTGAAGTATCTAAAATTTGTCTAAAAGTAATTATATAGATTGTGGAGGATATATTTTCATAAGACATGAATCAAGTGTATTGTAGAGATGTAACAAAGGTCTTAGTTTAACCTAGTTAATTCAACTATGATTACTTAGACTGCCATTATATAAAAGAGCTGGTATTTCAGAATCTCAAACTCTCAATAATCTATAATCGTAGCTCAGTAGTATGAATCATTTTTCATTTGTTTTCACTACTTGAAAATGCATGTCATTGCCAATATCTATCTTTATCAACACCTAAAAATTGACATGCATAATATGATTTTTACTTGCATTTTGACCTTACTTGCATTTTGATCTAGTTTCTACTATGTGCAATGTCTTCTTATGGTAATGCTTTGAATCTTTGACTTCATCTAGAACTTCTGGACCTCTTGTGGATCAAAAGTCTAAATTTTTAACTTTTCTCTCATGTTATTTGTTTGAGAAATATACTTTCTTTTACACCTCTTCAACTTTTGTGTGTATATGCTTCCAAGACAAGGAATATCATGTAGTTGAACCTTACAATTGGCTCAATATCATCCACTCGAGAATGTTCCAAGAAAGAAGTAAATTTAACTTATGCTTCATCAAAATTTTCAAAAGCTCCTCAGAGTAACTTTGTAATGGCAGATAATTACCGAAATAGAGCATAATGGTAAAGATCCGATACCACAAGGATAGAAATAACACAGAGAACAAAAGAGTGTAATGTATTAACCGTCTATTGAAGAGCTTGACTTCTCAGGCGCATGTCACTCCCATAAGTACTGCAATTGCTAAGTTCGAAGGCAGCACATTGCAGCATAGATTCACACTCAACTCCTGAAATTGATCCAATCATGTTCTACGGAGATTGATCGTGCTTCTGTCTTGGTATTCAGGGGGGAAAATTCCCAAAGTACACACTCAAATAGTTGCACAGAGCTTCCAATTAACATATTTGCTTAAAGCCTGAGCTAGCACTACACTACTCAGAACATCCGAATTGGAGCTTCGACCTCAGATAGGGTATCTTCAACAAACCGAAGTATCTCACGCACGGTGACAAACACTCAATCTCACGGACACGCGGAGAATGCAGGCTGAAAACTGAAAAAACTAACTACTGAGAATCCCCCAAGGCTGAAGCATTGGGCTCCTTTATTACTAATTAACAGTCCGAGATATCACTCGTTATGCCGCGAGCTACGAACAGCCGCGACACCAGCAGACTTGGCAGTTACCACGCCCGTTGAATTCTTATCTAATCCTAACCTACGCAAAATGGCTAACAGTTCCAATTCCAAGTTCTCTTTCGTCTCCTCCAAACCAAAGAGAAACGAATCTAACTTCCTAATTAATTGTTGCTACTCACCTACACTACAAGTAATCGTTGCCGTCACTCGATGCTCCAAGTTCCGCAGCTTCAACCACTTTTGCGTCTAAATCCGCCATATCACAAAACCACGAAGACATCAGTTCACCTTCTCGGTCAAGACTTCGTTCGTCTACTCTGCTAACTGCCGATTCTTCTCCTCCACTTCCAGCAGTTTCGCTTCCACCTCGTACAATTGCCCATCTGTTGCCGATAGCTGCGATCGCATCTCATTGCAGTCGGCCTCTAACCTCTCTAGCTCCGAAGACCGAGCGGCTTCGCACTCTGCCAACTCCTTCGCCTTTGCTGTTAACTTAGCTGCGTGCGTCTGATCTCTCTTCGCCAGATCCGCAGTCAATTCGTGCCCACAGAGCGACTCCTCATTGATGGTCATCCTAGACGCTTCCAATCTATCCTGAAGTTTGACTGTTGCTCGTCTTGTAGTTTCAATGTCACCTCGAAGACTTTCACATGCCTTCTCCGAAGATCTCCGAAGTTCTGTCTCCTCAACTAATCCCCCCTGAAGTGCCGCGCACTCCGACTCCAACTCCCAAAGTTGCATTTTCTTCTCCTCCAGGGAAGCCTTTGCCGCTGCACACTTTGCGTGCAGTCCAGCTCTCTACTTGCTCAGCTGTCCATGTGGATGCGGCCAGCTTTGCCCGCGTACTGTTACGCACTAGCTTCACGTAACATCCGACATCGGATGGCCTAGCATACTTCTCCAACTTTCCTTCTAGATAACGGAGTAAGGATACCAGTTGCTCATACAGTACATCAGCCGCATAGATCCCGCCCAACTGAATCTCTTCCGCTGAAGGATCTTCTCAAGTCTCCAAGATGACATTTCGTGTAGAAGTCCGAGGTGAAGCCGCCGACAGCTGCTCCGTAACATCTTTCTACTCCTTCTACTACTCTATCCACTAACTCTTCCAACGAAGTGGGACCCTCCTCTATGTCTGAGTACACCAACATTACTTATAAACTCTGCTTCCCTGATTGGGTATACACAACAGCCTTGACTTAAGGCCCTGAATTCTGCCTTAGGGTCTCCACCTCCGGAATTTCGGCACGGTGATCAAGCGTCTCTGAAATTACGATCTCCTGCAACTTCCGTCTTTTTTTGCGGCCGTACCTTCACTCCATCTCATGATCTGTCTACTCTCTTCGAAGTTAATGCGAGCTGAGTGTCTTCTTGATCTATATCGACTTCGTTGACACCAAGGGTCTCATCTCCATCTACCGCATGTGTTTGGGGTGGAAAACTCTTCTGCTCTACTACGATCAACAAATCCATACCTTTGTAGAAATTGACAAGGAAGGGAGACAAGTAATTTGCCGATCATTTCGGAGTTTCACCAATATGCTAGCGCGTGACCGACCACATGATCCTCGCCTAATGAATGTGTACTCCTCTCAAAGCTCGCTACGAATCCGACTTGCCAAGTCGTTATGTAAGTCGTTCGAGAAGATCAAAGGATCTGCATCAACGCTACTGCTACATTTCTTTGCAGCCAATCGTGGTACCCTTTCATCCAGTATCCATTCTTGCAAGTGCGCGGTATTTTGAACATCACTGCGTACGTCTTCTACTCTGCGCGCGTTACATTGACACTCTCACTGTCAAAGGTAAGATCGCCATCTTCACCTGCGCACCGACCGAGGATTTTCTCCCAATCCCAGATTTGCCATAGTTCGGGATTTCCATGATGTCCATCGACATCCAACGCACTACCGTCATTCCATTCTTGGACCATCGTCGCGCATACCCAACTTCATCTCCACATCCCGAAATTGGATTTCGCGACGATCAGCTCGTTGCGACAAGCCCTAAATTCCACTTCGGGTACCTTCAGCGCGATCAATCAAATTTCTCCGGATTGTCAAATGGCTGTTTCTGCAATTTCAAACTTCCGCACCTCAATCGCTCGTCAATCGGCAACTGTGCTATCGTGAAATGTGAAGGACGAACTTGCACTCCTCCTGGTGTAGTCCGTCACCTCAACGATAGTGCCAAGTCGTCAAATTGAAGGTGCCGCCATTTGAATTTCTTTTCCATGCGACTCCATCTTTTACTTCAATGGGGATGCGTTGCCATAATTCCTTCGTAGGTAACTCCGAAGACTCTATCACTGAAGATTGAATATCCTCAACCAAATATTGTACTAGGCCTTCGTGAAAACATGATGTCCACTTCATTGCTTCGTAGCTCGGGTTCCCTTGTCTATTCCTCACGTTCTTGAGCTCGTTGTAAGAAGCAGACCAAACTATATTTAGTAGGATCGTTCCTATTCCCTACTTCTACCCAGCCTCTATCCTAGAATTCCTTATTTACTACTATTCCCTACTCCTACTCAAGCCTCTATCCTAGAATTCCTTATTTACTACCATTCACTACTCCTACTCAAACTCTATTCTAAATTTCCTTATTCACTCCTCTTTTGAATACTACTGCTCTAAAGATTAAAATTTACTTGTCTTTGCTTTCCAAACTACTTTATTTCAAAAAAATTACACCACCACAAACTTGTTTGGTTATGAGTTTCAAAATACATAAGAAACCACAAATCCAAGATCAACTAGATAATTATTGTTCTAAACCTCCTTTTGTTCGCATGGATCCAAAGAGCTAAAAATGATTCTCGGACAGTTATCTTTCAATTCGACGGTTCAGCAAGCAAGTGCAAGCCGTCTTTGAAAACTGAGACTTGGAGCCACTTGTTGATATATTACTATCAGTAATACATCAACAAACCATTTAAGACAATTATTTAAAACTCAGTTGTCATTTAGATGTTGCTGAAACAATGATGTTGTCACCGTTGCGAACGTCTGGGAACACACGTCTTGTTTATCAACTCAGAACAAACAGACAAGATTGACAAATTTGGTGATATATGGAAATAAATTCGTTGTGGTTTACCACAACCCCAACTGCCAAGGTTATGCGTGCGAGGCCACCCTCGCACAGAAGACACCGGGCACAAGTAGTTTGCTAGTTGCACTGTATTCTTATTTAGAGTCGATAAATTCAGCAACTGGAGTCGCAGCATCAGCAGATTGATACTTCTAGAAAAACCTTTAGAAACATTTTCTAGTGGCTTTTATACATGTCTTCATTATGTACCAATGTATTTAGTAAAAAATGTTTCATCTAGGAGTTAACGCAAGTAGCCGCGCTGTAGAAACACCTCCATGTCCACAACATGAATGTAGGGAACGCATTTGACACGAGATAATGATGAACGAACAAGTAAAACCGTTTCAGTTGTGAAAGATTCAAAAATTGAATTAACAAAAGACTCGAATCCTTTTGAACTACAAATTTGAAAGTTCAAAAGGATAGGTACAAAACAAAAGCAACGGATACAGGTAAGAGTTCAGCAATCTATAATAATATAATCGATAAGGTAGACACTCGACAATCAGTGAGTATACTGTATTGACAGCACTGAAGTATCGAACCTGCAGAGAACCACAAAGGTTAGTGAAAGTACAACGCATAACAGAGGTGCACGGACCATAACCGGGAATTATGGAGTAGGAGCAGCCTAGGCACTGCGTCGACCACAATAGAAACGGAAGCCAGCTACATGTAAATAACAGCTTCGGCTTTGCGAAATTCGCTGGACATTATGGGCAACTTAAGGTCTTCTGTAATGAAAAGAATGGAAGTATATTCTGTATGTCCATGGCAATCAACTAGCTTGCCTTCAAAGAAGGAAAATACCCTTTGCTCTTAATTCTTATTGGGCCTCTCTTGTGATTGGAACGAATTATAAATTACACAGTACAGGGACAAAGCTTTGTAATCACATAATGCAAGCATCAGCTGACGTATTCAGGCACAACGGTGGAAGTGACATACGACTCAACACGAACAAGAACATCTGGTATACCCGATTTATCACGAGCAACCTGCAGGTACGAAAGAACACAGGTGAAATTAAGAGAATAAATAATTTAAGAAGCTGAAGCCTCATAGACGGTGTCTAAGACTCGTCACAACCAGACGACATACGAGAGAGTGAAGAAAATGAGACCACCGCAACTAAGCAAGAAAAGATGGATAAGAAGGCGTACCATAACTTCTTCGTCCAAGTACGAAACGAGGAGCTCTCTTGAGAAAGTGTTGTCTGATCGAGAAAACCAAAAGACACAGCTGAGTCAAAGTAGATCTTCGAAACAACAGCCACATACAACAGGAGCTAACAATGAAGATTTTAAAAAACACATTACTGGTGTTTCTATAAAAGATGGTTGGTAGCAACGGTTTTAGCAAGGCCCATACTTAAGGGAAGTTTTACACCACTAGAAACAATGTCCTTCATGTTGTCTGGAAGTTGTGCAACAGCTGCTGTAAACTGTTCCATAACTCCTTTCAGCTGCGATGGTATAGTTCCTTCAGGTACCGTTGGTGTAGAGATGAGTCCCTCGACATATTCTTCTTTCAATCTCAGCGGGCCTTCCACTTCAAGCTTTGAGGTCAAAGTGAAGATGCTCTCAACCTGGAAATACCGATTACATGCTTGAAAAAACACGGTGGATTGTTTACAAAAAATCTTCAAATACGACTTGATGTACGATGTATAATGCATACAAACTTCGAGTCCATTTTTGCAGCAAACATCTTCACGGGGCAGAATTTCAGAAGATTAAGAGCTCTCATAAATTGATCACATGTTTATATAAACTCTACACAAATAGAGCAAATAGAACCTTGATCCACAAGCACTATACGGCGAAAGCAACTAGGCTTGAAACTTCCAAGTCTAGTTGAGAAAGAGACTCAACGATTCTTCTCCAATTCCCTTCAGGTGTGTAGAACAGAGTTTAGAAGCTAACCGTGTTCAAGACTTTGAGTTTTCCCGTCGCCTTCGCAACTCCATCCCCGATGAGAAGAGTGAGCGAAGTGATAGAAGCCAGTGAAGGAGAGAATCCTCTGGGCAGGTTGGCAAAACAAAACGATTGTTCAGATTTTTTGGCTCAAGTAGAAAATGCAACCGACTAATCGACCGACTAATGATATTAGATAGTACAGACTTTGAAGTTGAAGTCTATATCCAGGCCACTCACTTCTTTCCCTTCTCATGAAGTATAACGGCAATAGTACAGCGTGTAATTTCATGAGTAATGTGACATCATATGAACACAAAAAGTTCATAAAAGATTTACGTTGATAATTCAACAGGAATCTTGTCATACTCAATCAGCCCTCTAGTTAGTCCCTCCAAAGGTTTAGCAGGTGCACTTCCGGGCTCTGATCATCACCTCAAAACTAGATATTTGTTTCGGAGATCTAATAATCGGACGACTCATACTTCTGCGTGTACATACTTGAGGAGCGTTTGTGCGGCAACAAGACCAGGACTTTGAGCTCCTGCAAACTGGAACTCCCACGACCCGTCAAACAGTGCCGACCTGCGTTCTCCATCAAAGATAGAAAGTTTGTTCACTGGTCATGAGACTTCCTGTGATGTAACTGTTGTACAAATGCTTGTTCACATCAGAGGCCTGAAATCTCTGCTTCATATGAACACTATTTGATTCATAAGCTCTCGAGGTGATGAAGAGGCGCCACCCTATCATCTCAGAATTGGAAAAAAACGTCTGAATCCCGCGCATGCATAAACTGTCAAAGATTGGAACACTGTTTGACAGTTGATTCGCAGGACGGGTCGTAGAAACGTTAGAGGGCAGTGCTCACGTTGTTGGTCGAGGAGTTGGATTCAGCCGTTCCAACATGAGTATCTTTTCGTTGACATCTATTCTCGCACGAGCATCTGCTTCGGGATCCGCCAACCCTTGCAAACCTCCGGCATCCCTGATCTGGCCATTCGAAGAAAAGCCAGGATTTTATTGCTTCAAGAGCTGCAAACTCGGCGTTGTTTTGAATTGTCCTTGACATTAAAACCACAAAAGAAGACAGCCATACAGATTCTTCACCTCATAAGTGGATGTGGAAATTCAAACCATAGAAGAGAAATCTTCGAAAACATGACACAAAACCTGAGGTATCGTGCATGCCATTTCTATAATTTCCAGTTACAAGTGACTAGCTGGACTTCTTACAGAAAGTAGGAGACTTTCTTTGGCAGCCACACGCTCCAACTCTTTGGCAACCAAAACTGTCGAACTAGCTTGCGCTCGGATACCAATCTTCCCAACTCCATTCTTCTGCGATACAGCGACGGTCACAAAGCGAGATTTTCTACAATCTGAAGGAGAAATTCTGAATGTAATGCTGGAGGCCAAAATTGGAACAAGTGCATTTGCTCGAGCTGGGATGTTGCATGACACAGAAGAAGCACAAGCTGTCCGGTTCCAAAACAGCGTCGAAGAAGTGGAAGCAGCCATAGCTCCCTGCCAGGAGACGAATTCAAAGGATTTCTACTGTGCTCTGTCTCAATTTAGTCCTTCTGTCTTTGAGCAAGAGGAGCTCCGTGTCATTCCCATCGCAGCTTAAACTCTTCCGTCTCTCACCGCTCTACCGTATGCACCGTCATGTATTCTACTCGTATGGTATGTAACATAGGAACCTATTTAGTCAAGGAACATACCGTATGCTCCTTGATTTAATAAGGATTCCAAAATATATAAAGTCCAACTTTATTGCTTATCGTCAAAAGCAAAATGTACTCAATTTCTTAACATAATTCATGGAGTAGGGTTGGATTCCTTGCCTAGATTACAGAGCAAATGTATAGTTCATGTGGAAGAAACAATGGTGATACAAACTTGGAATATTCCTCATGTGAATGTTATACTATTCTAAAATGAGCAAAAACGGAAGTTACTCAGTGATCATGTGACGATATGAATATGTAGAATTGTACTACAAGTATTTGCAATATTATAATTTCTCGTCTATTTTAAAATTGTATTGACAATCGGGTCATCTTAAATATGCTTGAATCAGTTTGACACAAAAGAAAATATTTACACATCATGCTTCATAAGGTAAATTTTATTTATATAATGATGGGAGTGCATGATGATTCCCATAACAAGTTATAGATTAGGCAGCATGCAGGTCAAAATTCTACTATGTTATATAAATATATATTCTCAATTTTCACTCTTGTTGATGAATTTTTCTATGTGTTTATCACTCTAAATAAACTTTTCCTTGTCATAAATCACCATAATCTCTCTATTACATCTATATTTCTAGTAGAGTTTTGTATACTCATGGTTCGAATTTTTAATGTAATTTGAGCAATTTTTTCATTACATTTATTTAATTCATTATGTTCTCGTCGTTGCCACCTACTTCGCTACTTCATGATGTTGAATTGACATTGTTTCATTTTCGTTTATGATTGTGACCTTCTTTCCTAGATCACTTCAATGAATTATTTTAATTTTTTAGTTTATTTTCATTTTGATATATATATATATATATATATATATATAGCTAGCTATTGCAAATAGCCAAATTTTATCTTATAATTTTTGCAGCTAATAAAATTTGAACTGTCTACTTTCAAAAAAAATTCACTTATGATTGCATAGTTTTTTGAAAAAGGTGTAAGAAGTTCAAATATACAAAAAAATTTCAAATTTTGTTTTATCATTGAGTGTGTCACATGATGACATGCAGATCTTGGTCTATACATCTTATCTCAATTTTAAATAGTTGTCTTAAATAATGTGAAAATAACATGTTTTATATGCTAGAATTCTTCGTTTAAATAATATATTTTGTAGCAAAAGTTATAGCTATTGCAATATGAGAGCATAATTGATGCAATCGTGTAACTTTTATCTTGTACATTCAGTTTTTCCTGCTACTTTACATTCATTTTTAGCCCAATTGGGTTGAATATTCATTCTAGTTGAGTTTGAGTAATAAAATTTTTAATGATTAAATTTGATATCTCAAAGATATCGCAACACATTTGCAATATTTTTAAATTTTCTAAATTGTAATTCTCCGAATAATATACATACTAAGATACTCGGCTATCAACACGGTCGCCCGTAAACTGGGGCTTAACACGGCCAAAGTAATAAAACGCTTCGGCGTGGACCTAATCTTCCGGGACCACCCGCCTAAGCCTTCGCTTCGGGAAGGGGGTGTTCGCGTAGCGCCGGGCTCCCCTAGGGACTAGATTAATGATACAAGGCGCTGAGAAACCCAGTGGTGGCCAGCCCCCCAATTCTGCTGTAGTGAATCAATCCACTTATATAAAATTTATCAATTTAACCGCCCGGAGCAGTTCATGGTAAGAGTTTTCTCGGGGTCGCTTGAAGCTCGTTTAGCCGGTGGTGATCGTGGATGCCCGACCTTCACTTCATTTTATTTTTTTTCTATTTACCTATCCGTTCATGGTTCTCGCGTTTTGAATAAACAATCTATAATATGCCATAGCTGGTATAGATAGACATAAACAATAAACAATTGTATTTTCTAAAAAAGCTATAATACAATTACTAAATTATCAACTTGCATAATTTTTGGACTTGTGCATAATACATAACGATTAGTTTTTTATCTTCTTTATTTTCTTTTACAAATGTAAAAATAAAAAAATTAAGACAAATTTCATATATATATATATATATATATATTTCATTTCAGAGCTTGCATTTGTTCAAGTTACTTCATGAATGCGAATAAAAAATTCAATTTTGACATTTTTTGAGGTCAAAATTTCTTGAACTTTATTAATCATTTTACTTTTAGCCTAAACATATCAATGACCAAAATGTGAACAATATAAGTTGATTACTATAAAATGCCAACACCACAATACTAAACAATAATGTTTATAAAAAATATAACAAGAATCATCAATAATCATATGATTATGTTCAAATCATCAATATCATCAGATTTTTATTTTGAGTTAAATTTTTTATTTTAATTTATCAATAATATTGGATTAAATATTAGTCTTAAATGATGTAAAAATTGAAAAATTTATATGAAAAATATAAATAGTGTAGCATATTATACAATGTTAAGTTTTAAATTGCAACATATGATTATAAAGCAAAAATTTGCACTCTAAACAACCTATCACTTGTTGCATAATGATTATAATCACAATACCAAAATAATCAAATTTTAATTTTTGTAAAATCATTTGATAGTGATTCAATAAATAAACATTGTCAAATATGAAAATTGAAAGCATTTTCCGTTCATACTTTCATATCAATTTTATTTTGCTCATATAATCTTTTAGCTCTAAATCACAGTGACGGTATGAATACAATGTCAACTTTTTCCAACTTTGGACGCGGTGCCAAGTTTTCAATTTTAAACTACTCCAATAGCGTTGTAGAGGTAAAATGAAAAAACATACTCACTCACTATCGTCAACATTAGTTGTAATTATTCTTCTGATATCAATAATATTTTCATTTTTCTTGTTTCAAATGGTGTTATTTCTAACTTTGAAACTTCAGTCGCTTTTCCGAATCTTGTGTGAATTGCCGTCCACAATAGCTTGACAAGAATCCATTACCAGTCTTAATTTCAAAAAAAATTTAGATGTTCACTTTCACTGATATTTCCAAGAATTTCAAGAATTCATGACTATTTTTGTTTCCAAAAAATTTGAGGTCCGTACTTCTTGTGATATTTTCAAGAATACACAACACAAAGATTTGATATTTCATATACTTGTGAATCTCCAAATGTATCAAATTTAAAATATATAACACTTTTGACATTCAGGTGCACGACGCTCTTGCCATGCTATAACAACTATAACAAGATAATGCCAGCCTATAAAATGCCTATGACTTTTGCCTGGCTCCATGTTTCATCGTAGCAGATTCAATTCCACAAGCGCAAAAAAAACCTCAAGTAAGTTTGTTAGAGAAGTTTGATGGAGATCATATGAAAATTCAAGATTTTTTCATTCAAATTTGACTTGTTCATCGTCTCTAAACACATAGATACTAAACAAAAGAATCACAAGTTGAAAACATTGAAATATTGCTCATTCCAAACTTTGTTATCTTGATTTTTCTCCATATTGGAAAAAAAATTTCCATATCTAACAAATGTCCATAAATTCTTGGAAGAATTTGTAGTATGTTTGAAAATAAAGATTGAATACTTATAGCAATAATAAAATTTTGAACACCATAACAACAATCTACTCCAATTTCAAAATACATTACAATATTTCAACAACTTGCATGTTAACTCAATTTGAATGATACAACTCTGATCATGATATTTTGATGACAAAACTTTGCATTGTTGCTGAACTTGCTAAAACCAATAACTAGGTTAGACGCCTTTACTCAAGCTATTGATTGCAAATATCGGCACCTAATACAAGAACAACACGACGATTTCTCTTTGATTTATATCAATCGGATTACACAACTCCAAGCCAACAAACATCTTTAAACACTTCAACTCAAGAGCACATGCAAATTAACACTTCAAATGTTATAAAATTTATCAAAGAAAAAAATAACATTGTAGGAAGCACTTGTGTTTTTATTGTGGAGGCAACAATTGCGGCTTAAACTATTGCCCTTTGAAAACTCAAGAGCAAAAAATGCACAAATTTTTGATACTCCTCAAGCACTTCTGGTATAAGACACGAGAAAATCGAGTTGGAAAACAATGTCAATCATTCATATTAGATACCATGCGACATAAAAATGTTGCCACGCGTCAACAACACTTTGCAATGTCATCAAGTCCAATCTTATACTCTAAACCTTCCTGTTGTTGTAATATTTTACTGAAAATACATTCTTATACAAATAACATCAAAGTAAAAAACTTGTTAGATTCTTGAAGCTATGCTTGTTTTATAGATGAAAATCTTGTAAAACACCATAATCTTTCTATAATGTTTAAAAAATATTCTATGATAGTAGAATTTATCATCAAATGATATTTGATTTCAAAAAATGTCAATTACAATGCTTAATCCTTAGACAATATGATCAACAAAGTACAATCTAATTGAATATCATTGTGTCTACTCCTTTACTTTTAGATTTTTTTGGTTAGAGATTATTAATCTGAATATAGATTGGAAAAAGAAAAAGCTATAATGTACTACCATAATTTTTTATTTTTTGTCTAGGTATACGCGTTTTTATCAAGTTCAAGGATCTCATATCAAAGTTACCTTGATGCTTGATCTCTGATATGAGAGTATCAAGATATGTTTGAGAAGAAGATTGCTTTTACACTTTATCAGAATTGACCTTATGATTATGCCATAAAACTTCAAGAAGTTGCGCAATCTATCTTTAGTTCAATCTATAATCTCTTCGAGAACGAGCTTGCTGCATTGCAAGAATACCTTAATGAAAATCTTGCAAAAAATTTATTTGACATTGGAATTCACATGCTGGACCTTTTATTTTATTTGTCAAGAAGAAAGACTACTCCCTTTGGATGTATTATCATGGACTAAATAAAGTCCCATCAAGAACCAATATACATTGCTAATTACTT